CTAGACTGAAGGAAGGCACCATTCTACTCCTTTTCACCACATTACATATGCCTTAAGGAGTAGGGGACTAGGAAACCCTTTTGGGAAAATCACAAAATATTAAAATTTCTCCCAGAGCATCAACATCCTTCAGTCCCAAAATGTGGGGGACTGAGGGACTGCCTTCGGTAAAATAGCAACGAAACAAACACCAGCATCAGAGGACGAACACATTTACTCCTTTTCCCGCAAGTACCTTTCGGCAAAAGGAGTTAGGGACTCCTAATGGAGTATATGGCCCAGGGATCCCCGACCCACGTACTCCCACAACTGCAATCAGGCCCAACATGCCCAAACGGGCCAAGCCCAGCAAAATGAAGCTCTAAGCAACCCACAATACACAAGGAGGTGCCTTCGGCCCCATGACCGAAGGCTACCGATGACCGAATTTAGCTTAGGAACATCGCAGGAGAACAGGGTTTCAATACCAAGCCTTCGGCCTCTACAGCCCTCGGCACATAGAGGCCCCCGGCCCATGGAGCCTTCGACACAGTAGATACAGCCGAAGGCGTCTTCCTCGACAGAATCTCCTCTCCACATGCGCTAGATCACCATACCAAGTACAACATCGCATCCAACCACCGCATTTAATGCGGCTACATGCAAATGTCGGTGCCACCCCGATTGAGGTGACTCCTCGACCACCAGACTATTGACACGTGTCCCTATCTAGCATTTATTGCTGCTATAAGCAGCAGCCCATTTTCCCATTGTAAGGCATCACAAATTCACATATCGAATACATATTCTCTCTCTACTTATTGCTCTGACTTCTCTCTAAGTTATTCCCGCAATAACCCCTCGGATAAGCTACCCCCGGGTACACTATCCATCACATGCCATCCTTTATATAGGGAAGATTTGTTGTGCGTTAATGACGTTTTTAATGGACATGACCGTTGGACATCACTGTCCAGCACATTGGCATTGATTGGTCCGTAACTGTCCATTGAATTGCATGAACGTTGGGCATTTATTGGCTTGTAACGGCAGCAGGGTCGAGCAATAGCCTGATGCGGGCGTGTGGAGCAGCGGTCTGCTCCTGGAGGTCTTATCTTTAGAAGATAGATTTTCGGACGGCATTCGTCTCCGCTGGTCGCCCGTGCACACGAGTCGCGATTTTTCTTCTCCGTTTTCGGGATTTGATCCGCAGCCACCCCTACGCGCGAAGAGAGCCTTTCCACCTAATAATCTTAACTCCTTCAAATGGGGTTCCTTTATAAGGGGGTGAAAATCCCTTGGGTTTTCCGGTGTGGGATAAAACACACTAGAAACCCATCATTTCCTAGTTTTCTCCATTTCAACGAATGAATTTCGAGAATCAATTTCTCATTCACCCGTTATCCGTTTTGAGTGTACCACATATCGAATTGTATCCCTTAGCAAGAACAATCCGAAATCACTTTGACCTAACCCAAATCGAAAGTGGACCCCACTCAAAAAATTGCCCCAAAATTACCATTTAATGCAATTTATTAACACATTTTCCAACATGTCTTCGACGGGTTTGAGGTCTTCAATTCGGAGGTACAGTGGGTAGGCATGTACAAAAAGAGAAGAATGCGAGAGATGAGTCATGAACAACGGGGATTAGGGGTTTTATGAGTTCTTTCCTAAAATATTACTAATAAATGATCATGGATAAAAATGCCACTTAATAACTTTTATTTATATTGAGGGTGTTTTGCTCTTTTCAGTTTTAGGATGTCTCTCTTTTGTCTAGATTAGAGTAGCCTTTATCTGCCCTTACAAACTCATACTCTCTCCATCTCATAAAATCTAGTCAAATTTTCTTTTTTATCAATCCCAAAAAAAATTGTCATTTCTATTTAAAGTACTAAATATGTGGTTTAATTAGTTTTTCTTTCATTTGCACAACTTTCAATTACACAATTTTTACTTTATTATTTTGCGTGCAAGTCAAACTTGGTGAAGTTTTGTGAGACGGAGAGAGTATGTAATATGAAAAATTCCAAATAGAAAAGAAATAAAAATAAGAAAATGAAAAAATGAATAAAAAGTATTTAAGAGAAAAAAATAAAGAAAGGAAACTTTTAAGGAGAAAAGAGGAAAATATTACTTGGGACGGTTCTTAAAAGATCGGAGAAAATGAGATTATTTGTTTAATGTTTCCTAAGAAAAAAATCTAGAACAACGAGTCATCAAGTGATCAGAGGCCCGTGAAAAAAGATGATCGCAAAGATGAAATTATTTCTAGATCATGAGCCTGTTTGTTTGGTGACTCTGTTTCGGCTTATCGAGATTATCAGTAAATTTTTTCACCAAACACGCAACTTTTGATTTCAAGCACTCAATTGTGTAATATTAAGAAAAAGTAAGGTTGAAGTTACTTTTTTTACTATATTGGTTGGAGTTACCGTAGAGGATTATTTTAGCTATTTTTTATATTTTTTTCTAATTTTATTAATAAAAAATATTTTAAATATTTTTTTTTCATATATCAGCAGAATACCCAATTCAATCAAAACTTCATAAATTTCAGTTAAATCTACCAATTCAGTCAATTTGAGTGTTAACAAACGGGTTTTATGTAAAGTCAAAGAGATTAGTGAAAGTTGAAAATATTATTGTCGATTTCCATTATTTTTTTATCATAACCTACTCTTGTATTAATTTAATAAATCACTTGCCAAGAGCTTACAATACGACCCAGAGGAGTATGGAAATTTGCACAGACAAATTAAGACATATTTTGTCTGTGAATCAGATTCACAGATAAAAAAATCTTGCACAAACATGGTGGGTATAAGGTGGATACAAGGGTGGGTACAACAAAAATGATTGATTTATCTTTTATCCACTTTCTTTGATATTTCACATTTTTAAAGCTTAAATCAAATTTAAAGTGGATGTACATAATTCATATCAATTTTTCTTAAGTTTGAATGATTTAAACTACTTCATTCTAAATTTTTATTTGCATGTAAATTATACAGTTTAGTAATTACTCCCTTCATCTTAGAGCATCTCCAATGCTACAATATGCACGGTGCAAATGTGGCATGAGAGATAACCACATAAATATTATAAAATAAATTATATCTTTCTCTATTTAAATGATTTTATACAATTTTGGTAAGTTTTTCTCTGCAATGTCAATCACAATGTTAACATCTAGACGATCTTCTTGACATTGTGGAGAAAAAATTATTAAAACTATATAAAATCATTCAAATAAGGAGAAAGACAATTTATTTGTTAATATTTATGTGGCTATCTCTCATACCACATGTGCATCGTGCACATTGTAGCATTGAAGATGGTCTTTTAGAAATGTTCTCTCTTTTCTTTTTTGGACGTCCCATATAAAAGTTTTCATTCCATTTTAGGAAATGATTACCAATGTTAAATAACAAATTAATTATTAAATATTAAAAAATAATACATTTATAACATCACAATTATCAACACTAACCTCATTATATTACATATCTATTATAATTATTTCTCAAAATATACTCAAACTACTTTATTTAGTCATTCTCTAAAAAAACGTGTTATTTTGTCACGAGAACCTTTCAACGAGGCAGAGGTATTACATTTTTGAACTTAATATAAACTGATATAATTGTGCGTGCGTAATTTACATGAAGTTTACGTACATACACTAATCGTCTCTTATTCAATTCATTTATTTATTAAAAAAATGTGACTAATTCATTTAAATTTGGTAAATATGGTCTCATGTTTTTTTCTTCGAATGAATAATTTGTTATCTATAACTAATTTCACAATATATTTCTTAAGGTGTTCAACTATTTATGACATGCGTGAGAAAATATTTAGTGTGAGTTCGCCCCCACTCATTTTGGATACGTCACTGATCATCATTACCCGAGTGCCACAGAGGCTCCCACCAATAGTGGATAAAGGAGGTCGGATGTACAAAACTTTACTTCTGTACTAAAGCACATACACTGTTTCTAAGACTGATTGAAATGGCAGGGTGAAAACCCCAAATGTAAGTCGATATTTTGTTTTCACCCCAAAAGAGTTGAAGGAGGATATTTCATATGGGGAAGAGCCACAGGAAGTCTAGGAAACCCTGGGGGGCGATCTGTGGCCGGCAAATCGACTCTGTCGACAGATTTAAAATGCTTCTGACAACCTGAGAGCAAATATGTGGACTGTATTGGCTCATGGGAGTTGGCTGCAAGTGGCCTGGTGGGTTAGCTGTGTGTGGATGAAGGCTAGTGGGATGTTGTGTGGGAGTTTAGCCTAAAAAATTTGAGGTAGCCTGACTGGTGGGTTAGTTGTGTGGGCATGATTGTTGGTATTTTAATTTGAGAAAACGTGTTTCAATTGATTTAAATTTAATACTCCATATTAAACAAGTCCACGTCAGTAGTATATAAAATGAAAACTTAATAATATAGATATATAGAAAACGATTAATAGTTTTAAATTTATTTCAAATTGAACTTAAGTACGCATTTTTAATACTTACAAAAAAAATCAATTCACATGTTTTATTTTTTTACATCGGAATGTTTGAGTTTTTAAGAAATAATTATTGGTCAAAATAAAATTAACGGTGCATTTAATTAAAAAAATGTGATGAGTGGATATATTGACGGTGCTGGATTGCGGAGAAAAACTGAATTGACTGAGTGAATACGTATAAACTTGAGGGGAATTAGATTTATTGACGGTCTGTGTTGTGGTTAGCCTAAATGACCCATAGTGAAAATTGCGTCGAAAATTACATGAACTGACGGTTGCTTCATAACAAACAAGCACTGACAGTTTAGTGAGTCATTTTGTTTTACTCCATCATTTTAACAAACTAAAAAATAGTAAGTCTTTGGCTCCATTACAGATGATGGAAAGAAGATTGATCTAAATACATACTCCCTCCGATTCACAAACAAGTTCCACATTTGACTTTACACATAATAAGAAAAAAAATTTGACTTTACTATAGAGTGCACTGTTTGTCACTGTTTGAACACTGTTTGACACTGTTTGAACACTGTTTGACACTATTTGACACTGTTTTGATGTAGATAAGTTGCCAAATGAAGAAATGTTTGAAAGTGGAACTTAATTTTGAATCTGCCCGAAAAGGAAAGGTGGAACTTGTTTCAGAAACGGAGAGAGTATAAATTTAAAAAAAAAAAAACTATTTGATTTTTTGCCTTCGTATGTTGCAAGTTTTACCCCAAAGATTAAAAAAACACTAGTCCATTTTCTTTAGCAGTTTTTTCTTCTCCAGCCATTTTCTATACATTCCAAACATTGCTTAGTATACGAAAGGATGAAAAGGGCTTAACCTCCAAAGGCTAAGCATCTCCAACTTGGGAGACCGACATTATCAATGCCCCTCCAAGAGCATCTCTCACATTCTGCTCCGCAACAACAAATCCTGAGATCATCAGTCATCTTATTCCCATCTATTTCCATAGCTTCCACTTTCCCATCAGAATCTCTTCTATCAGCCTGAACACCTAAAACCACCAACATAGCGTCCGTCAATCACAAATATCACACGATTCAGGCCCCTTTCCAATGCTACTTGAGTCGCTGACCGAAGCCCCAAAGCTTCCGCTTCCATCAGTGTCCAAGACGCCTTCATACTATAAAGCGTCCATCCTTATTTATCAAATGCCACTCCTTTCCACACCTCTTGATTCCTTACATTCCATAATGAAGTTGCAGCAGGCCTCTCTCCCAAACCAGGAAAATACAGCTTTTACTCACTCAAAAAAACCTGCACTAAACTGAAAACAATTTCCCAGAAGCTGCCACACCAACTTTACCTTTTCACACGCATAGAACAAATGAAAAACTGATTCAGCATTCCCATTACGAACAGAACACACAGCATCTACATTAACTCTTCTTTGCCTCAGCTCATCAACAGTCATAAATGTTATGTACTGGAAAATAGTTTCAGCTACCTACACATTTGAAATTTGAATACGTGTATAACCTTATCTTAGTTTGTATTGAATTTTATATGTAGAATTTTATGTGCTTTTATTTAGAAACCGTTTGAAATTCCTGTTTTCAGGTTATTAGTCTTATTAATTAATTCTGTTATCAAATAGAGAACTTTGGATTAAAAAAAAAGTTGGAGACTTTGAGAGTCATTAGATCTCAATACATTATATCATTTCTCATTTCTCACATTAAATCTTTTAATTTATCCAATGTATATGTGTGTGTGTGTGTGTGTTTGAGCTGAACTTTATTTTTAATGTTGCAAATAGAACAGATGCACAAGCAATAAGCTATAAGAAACAAAACCAGGGATTTAAAGTAGGCAATAGGATTTTAGATTATTCAACCTAAATGAAAACATTATCTCGGAAATTAATCAAAGAGCACGTCGCAATCCTTTGGGCTTCTTGACATAACTAAGCCGGATTTTCTTAAGAGTTCTCCTCTTCCTAGCCATCTTCTCAGGCAAAGTCTCCCTCCGTTTCTTCTTCTCCTTAGTAGCAGTGGCAGCAGCAGGTTTCTTCTTTGCAAGCCTAGGGTCCAACTTATAGGCCTTCACTTCAACTGCCACCCCATTGCTCGCTGCCTCTTTGGAAAGTGCATTTGCCTTGTCCACACGGCCATGAGCAACTAACCTTCCCATCAATAAGTCATATGTTTTGCTCCCCGGTTTGCAACCATCTTGTTTCATCTTTTTGAAAACAGCCACAGCATGATCAATCCTCTCAATGCCACATAATATTTTCAGAAATCCATAATATGTCTTCGTATCAAGTGCGTCTCCATACCCTGCAGACTTCATCCTGTCGATCATTTCATCCCCCTCTCCGACCCTTGCAGCCTGATATAAACTCCTAATGAGTGTGATAAATGTGGTGGCGTTTGGATTACAACCCCATTCCCGCTCCATCTCACAGAACAACCCCATTGCGGCATGAGTTTGTCTAATCTTACACAAATTAGAAATCAACACATTGAACGTCTCCACATCTCGTGGGACACCCTTCTGTTCCATTTCTAATAACAACTTATCCACCTCAGGTTGAAGCCGGAAAGGATCCTTTTTCCTGCAAAGCTTACAAACACAATCAAGAATTGCATTATAGGCATAAGTGCCAATCTCAAATCCTCCCCTATACATCTCAGCAGCTAATCTTTGTGCCTCATCAAGTTTCTGATCAACACACCATCCCTTAATTAACATATCACAAACATATTGATCAGGGAAAAACTCACTAGCTAAACTTTTCACCATTTTCTCAGCATAACTAGGAAAACCATGTTCACAGAGCTTTGTAACTACCAGTTTAAGGGAATCCAGGTTCCTAGTGAACCCGTATTCTTTCTCACATTTCTCAAAGAATGAGACTGTCTGGCTGGGTCTCCCTGCCCGGACCAGTCGATCAACCATGGATTCTAGGGTTTTAGTCCCAATAACACCACGGCCTCCCACTAGCACGTCATGCGCTGCCTTGAAATTCTTTTTCCTGCCCAAATAATCCACAATGTAAGAGTAAACTCTGTCATCTAACTCGAAATTAGGCCTCGATTTGATCCAATCGAGAAATCCAAGCACCGGCCGGCCGGCATCAGGGCAGCCATTGAGGGTTGCCAGGATCAACGGATGCGAGAGAGTGACGTGGGAGAAGGAGAGGTCGAGTCTTTGCAGGACAGGGAGAGTTTCTACCTCTGGATCTTTGAGAAGCTCAGCGGAGAGAAGCCGCGACGTGGCTTCCTCTTTGCTTTCTTCAGCATTGGGGCCGGCGGCGGTATGCTTATCAGCAGCTTCAGATGAAAATGACCTGAATGTTGAGGAACAAAGATAAAAGGGCGCATTCTCTCTGAAAGCCGCGGAGGAGAAAGAAAAGAGATCAGGCCGCGGTGGCAGGAGGTGAGATTTGGAGTTGATAAGGTAAGGTTGGGAAGTTGTTGTTGAAGAAGAGATACGGCGGAGGAGGATGGGGAGAGCGATATACCTGCGCATTTTGAATGCTTCAGTGGCGGCGCAGCTTCACAGACTCCAGCTCGCTCCGCTCGAGTATTACCCCAGGCGCAATCCTACGAATCAAATTAAATACCCATAAAAAACGAATTCAATTGTGGCTCTTAGGATGTTTTTATTTGGACTGTAATTTGTTGGTATGGTCTGGTCTGGTCTGGTTTCTTTGTATTTTTATAACTATCCAAGTCTAATCTGGTCTTGTCTGGTATGATCTGGTCTGGTCTTGTCTGGTCTGGGAGGAATTACAGTCCAAGTAAAAACATCCTTACTAATCAACTCTTTTTAGTTTAAAAAATGATTGTAATAATCGCAATAAGTAAGATTAAAGTATTTTTTTAATTGAATTGACTGGAGTTAATGCAAATGATCATTTTAAATGTATTTTCATATAATATTTTATTCAATTTATGAATAAAATATATTTTAAATATAATTTTTTCACAACTCAATAGATTCAACCAAATCAGTCATTTCAATCAGAATTTCAGCAATTTTAGTAGATTCACCCGATTCAGCCAATTTACGGATACCAAACGTGTTGAGAGTTCACAAATAGCATTACCATTATGTGATTCTCAAAATATGACTTGTTCATTCTTATTTTCAAAAGTTTAAATGGAACTTAATCTTTTTCTTTTTGGGAAAATAAAAATTAATAATCCAACCTTTCAGCGATCTTTTTACAATAATTTCACCTTATCATAATTTAGGTATAATCCAACATTTGCACCCATCTTCAGTAGCTGGTCCTTGACTGCTTGATGACCTACTATTATAGGTTTTTCTATTTTCTTTGCAAATTATTCAACCATAAATCTCACCTCTCACAAATCTTCTTCGAGTGGTCCCACGAATCATTTTTCTTTTTTCTCCCTAAAACTTTTCCCTTTTTTATTTTTATCTTCTTGACTCTTTGATTCCCATTTTTGGTCTTCTTATTTTTATATCTTTTCAATTTTTATATATTAATTGACTCCTTTTTACTTCTTTTAAATCATAATCATATTTTACATTATAATAAAGAAGAAAATAATAAAAAGTATCTGAATTTATAAAATGAAGTAAAAAAAATAAAACTATTTTTTGAAATAATAATAAAATAAATAGTAATAAAAAATAATTTAAAGAAGACTTTAAAAGTAAATAAAAATAGGTTAAACACATTGAAAAAAATTGGAGGCCTTTCCCGCAGCCTCGACAACTTCTAGCAATGCCAACTTTGACTGACAAAAAAATGCCATTTTTTAAACACTGCAATTTTTCTCTTATATTGCCATGAATTTACTCTTTAATTTGAAAATGCCAAAATTTTCTAACGAAAATATCGTGAAGATAGCATTACTAACACATATTGGCACTTTTTACGGTGGTCAAAGATGGTGGTGTTAAGAGGTTGTTGAAGTGACAGCAGATGCTTGCATATTTATTTTTACTTTTTTTACGGAAATGCTCTCCATCGTAATTACGGAAATGCTATCGCGTAAAAAAAAATCCAGATTTACGGAGTTATTTTGACGCAGTGACATTTTCGTAATTATTTTCGAGGGGGTCTATAAGTTATGATTTATTGGTTAAAAGTTTGTATTTTTAGCCTATAAGTTATACTTCGCAGTTCTCAGCCTAAGGACACTTCTCACATGACCCACTCCAGACACACACACACACACACACACACATATATATATATATATATAGATATATAGATATATAGATAGTAGTGTTCCGGTCAGGAATTCCTTACCGGAACCGCCGTTCGGACGATGGCTTTTGGGGACCTTTGCCGGTTGAGTTTTTTGATGAAATTTTTATGGCATGTTCTTCATCATATCTAGTTTATCCACACAAAAATTCAGCTAAAAACTCAATCAGGAAGATCGTCAAATGATTTTTACAAGATAACTGCGCCGGAAAATACATATAAAACACAGTTTAACGAAGGATTTGTTGATGGACTACTAGGAGCATAACTCTGGGATATTGCCATATTGGACTGGTGGTGGAGGAAACACGGTCAGGAGGTGGGGTTGAAGTAGGAATGCGGGGAGGTGGGTTCAGGATGAGGGAGGCTGTGAGTGAGTTGTTGGTGTGCCGAGGGATGCAGAGAGGATGTGATGGCGGAGGGTATGACCGGGGGGGGCAGGGCAGTAACTCGACGGATATTCGTGTAACAATAGGAAGATGGAGTACTGGGCATAGAGGAAACATGGGGTTGAGGAGAAAATTTGGCATATGAGAATTTGTCCTCATGAAAAATAACATCTCCACTAATATATACCCTGCTAGTGATGGGGTCAAAACAATAGTATCCCTTGTAAGTTGTCATCGGACGCATAACCAAGAAAAAAACACACCGAATGGATCGAAGTGATAGCTTATATGGTGAGGTGGCAATTTGATTAGGAAAACACTCACACCCAAATACCTTTCAAAAAATTATAGTCCGACACTTTATTTAAAAGCTTATGATACGGAATAAAACCATGCAAAACCAGAGTAGGAAGACGGTTAATTACATAAGTAGCTGCATAGAGAGCGTTCACCCAAAATCTATTTTATATAGTAAATCTCAGTTATAAATTGTTGAGGTGTCTTATTCTTATTGGTTAATCCAATTTAATTAAAACAATTAAATATAACATTAATTAAATAATTAAGAAATCGTAGGAGAGAAAAAATAGGAGAAAAAGGTGGAGGAAAAACTTTAACAAAATGGTGAAAACGTACACATGTAAACATTCAAAAATGATGGAATATAAAAACATAAACATGTAACAAAATTTAATTAAAAGGTTTAGTTATAACATTAATTTAGAAATCATAGGAGAAAAAAAATACGAGAAAAAGGTGGAGTATTAAAATAGTAAAAATATACCGGAGTACAAACTAAGCATACAAACGGTGGAGTCACTTTTCTTTTGATTATTAATTTCGATTTTGATAAATAAATATTTCTAATTATAAAAGTTGGTGACAACTCCGGTACCCATTTAAACAACGGGGTATCGTACCTTCCATATACTTGATTGGTCCACATCATTATATTATTTTTAATTTAAATTTAAATAACTCAATTGCAACATTCTCATTGGTGCATGTGGACAAAGGTATGTGTTGGGATATTGACCCGGAGGCCCAATACCCGGATTAAAAAGGCCTAGGATACCCGGCCCAAACAACGAGTCCATTACCCTATAGTGAGTAGGTCCAGTGAAGAATCCATACCGAACGGGGTTCGGTCCGAGTAAAGGCCAGCCCAGAAAGAAGAAATACCGAACGGAGTTAGGACCATATATCATACTTGGGCCAATTTGACAGTGTCATCTGCATGGTCCAGCATCCCGTTCAAGCAACGGGCAACCAGCAAGTGGCCAGGTGCAATTAATGCCAGATTGTGACATCAGCAAGTGGAAGCATGAGTGATCAAGTCGGTGGAACAACGGTCAATCAGCATAGAGCAACTCATGCTCTCCATTAGTATAAATAGAAGGTTTAATATCATTGTAAGGGTTAGCATTTCGATACTCAAGCTCTAGAATAGCATTATTACTCTTGTTTCCCGTATTAAAAGCACTGTTCCGACCTACCGATCGGGAAGTTTCCTTGTAATCAGATAGGTTAAGTAATACAAGTGGGCTTTTGGGTATTAGTGGATTCATCTTTTATATATTGTTATACACTTTGATTCTGATCCATTCCTGATATATCCAAAGTTCGTGTTGGGTTTTCGGATCTACTGGACTTACCTTCAACATTGGCGCTGTCTGTGGCAAACTGTTCAAAAAGTTTCACATTCAATTATTCCAAAACAACTATTTTTGAAAATGGTCACAATCAGTTCTTATCACACAAATGATGGTTCGCGCCGTCACGGAAGGAGTCACACCCCGAGAAATCAAACCCCTCAGGGACAATCCAGCCGAGGATCATATCCTCATTTTGATGGGGACTGTGTAATTCCTGAAGCCCTAAGGAGGAATCCTCAGGCCATGCGAGATATGGCCCAGGTCATGCAACACATGGCAAACGAGGAAGGAGGATCCAATTTTACAGGGGAAACTCCCCACACAGAAACGACCACGGCGTCATCCCACTCACGGGCCCATCGGGATAATCGTCATGGCGCTCCAACAACAGCGCATCATATTCCCAGTGACCGGACCTTGATCGGGTCACAAGCCAGGGGACCTACTCCTATTGGTCATCATTTCCAGCATGACGAACGGAATAATACTAGGGCCACTCAAAGGCAGTGGGATCCGGAGTATACAGATTTGAGGACTCCACCACCGCCCCCTTTGACGGCCCAGGAGGAAGAAATGGCTGAAATGAGGAGGCAGATGAATGAGATGAGAGATCAGATGAATAGGGCGCCCGTACAGCCTGCTCCGATTCAGCTCGGGATTACTTCCCCTTTCACCAGGGAAATTATGTATGCGGATATCCAGGGAGGTGCCAAACCACCGACCGGTCAGATTTATGATGGGGTAGGCGATCCCCATGTGCATTTAAGGAGTTATCAAGGAGGACTCGTGCTACTAGGAGCACCTGAGGCTGCTATCTGCCGATTGTTCTTCAGTACGCTCAGAGGACCCGCTCAAGAGTGGTTCGGGACCCTGCAACCTGGGCCGATCAACAGTTTCGCCGAATTATCAACGTTGTTCTTGGCCCAATTTGCTTCTAGTGCCAACCGAAAACGGCACTTCAGCTACCTAACTAGCGTGAAGCAGAACTCCAAGGAAACCCTCAATCAATTCTTGAAAAGATGGAGGGACGAAACTCTGACGGTCGGAAATATGACGGATGATACCGTCATCACCCTATTCACAAACGCACTCCGAACGGGAGAATTATACAAGGATTTGAAGAAGAATCCGGGTACAGCGTATGCTGAGGTGTTAGACAGAGCTCGCAAGCATGCTGCCCTGGAAGAAGAGATTATGATCAGGGATAAGGTCGCTGCGCCTACTGCCCCAATCAAGATGGCCGATCGGTTGGGTCCTACCCCAGTGGCCGCTCTCTCTCCTAAGCAA